GAGGCACTCGGGTCGCCCCCAGCGTGGGGCGCTGCCTGCAACAGTGGGGGCCCGCTAGCAACCCCACACACGGACCTCCCGCCCAAGACGGAGCGGCAAGGCCAAGAAGCCCCTCGGCGACCTCGCGGCGCAGCGAGGCACAGGCGGGCGTTGTGGCCTACCCAAAGCAGTGGCGCACAGAGCGACAGGGACAGGACAGCGGGCGCCCCGCGGCGGCCTTCCCGGGCAGCACCAGCGCGCTGGCCCTCACCCTGAGGCGAGCGGAGACAGGCCGGACACGGTGGTCAGCACCGTGGCCAGAGGTTGTCCTGTGGCCTGCGCTGCCCGCAGCTGCCTGAATGCCAAACAGCAGGGAGGAGCCGGGAGGGGCCGGGAGGGACCGGGAGGAGCCGGGAGGGGCCGGGAGGGGCCTGCCCTTTCCTCAGATGTAGAAACAGGTGTCCCTGGTGGGCACAGCGCTGCGAAGCTGGCTGCTGCCGCCTGAGTGCCAGAGAACGACCCCCAGGGCGCGGCAGCCCTCTCCTGGCCCGCCCGCCGCTCCCCTCAGCAGTGGACTTCATGGATCTGCCTGTCCTGCTCCCCGCTGTCTCTGGTAAAGCCCCTCACTGCCCCTACACCTCTGGCCTGTGCCCCAATTCTGTGTGCACAAATAAATAATCTTTAAAAAAAATAAAATAAAATGTGCAAGGAGCCAACACTTGGACTCTCCTGTAAACCAGAGACACAGCGGAGGGGCACGGCCCTCCACGCAGGCCCCTCCGGGCGTTTACTCCCAGGGCCCCGGTCCCGTCCACGGCAAGGCCGCTACTTTCAAAATGACCACAGAACCCTGCACTGGAGAGACGCAGACAGTGGACCCAATGGATCCCAAATCAGACTCGGGGTGACCCCTCCTCCAGGGGGCTCGCGGGCGCTCAGAAGCCCCAACAGAAGTCACGGGCCACGGGCAAAGAAAGGAACCCCTGAGGGAGAAGCGTGGTTGTGTGGTGCACAGAGGAGCATCTGTGGCCGGAAAGCAAAGGTGCTGAAAACGCCAGAGGCCGCCGACTTTATCGTCGAGGTAGAAAAGGAGGCACCGGCCGCAGAGCGCCCGGGCGTCTGCACAGACCTGGGCCGTTTATCATTCACACGTCCCACTGCAGAGTTAATATAAAGCTTAAAAGTAGGAAAAAAAAAACTAACCTTAAGATTATCAAAGGTTTTGACAGCCTGGGCCAAGTCACTGACACTCCCTGGCGACGCTGTCCCCTGTCCCCTAGGGCCTGCGGACACCCGTGAGCCGTCGCTGGCCTCGAGGCCAGAAAGCGAGGCCCCTGAGCAGCTGCACCGAGGCTCCTTGGCTCTCTGCCCCGCTATCAGGTAAGTCTTCAAACCTAGGACGAAAGTTACAGTCAGCACAGCTCCGAGCAGCGTGGCGATGGTCTCGCTCCCCGGCGGGCCCCGCTCCTGAAAGTCGAGAGCAAAGTGAGAAGGTGAGTGTCGGGCTCCCCGCAGACCCCGCCACCGCAGCGCGGAGGCGCCCCGTGCGCCCCGCTCCGCTACTCACATTCCGGCTCCTTGGAGAGGCTCCCGTGGAGGGGCGGGGCGCTCGCAGGGCTCGGGGGCGCCGAGCCCGGGGTGGCGCACGCCTGCGGGGTCCCCGCCCGCCACCGACATCACAGCTGTCGGTCGGGTGGCAGAGTCCTGGGAGCACCAGCCGCTCCCCAGCCAGGGGTGCGGAGCCCCGAGAAAAGCTGGCCCTGCGGTGCCCAGTGGGCCCTCGAGCCCCTCTTTGGAATCAAAGGGCCTGTTCTCTGGAGGGTCGGAACCTTCACCGCGGGGACGGGCGGCTCCTGCGTGCTGCCA